GATGGACACCACCCCCCTCTCTAGCGAATGATGATGGATACCACCCCCTCTCCAGCTGGTGATGATGGACCGCCCCCCGTTCTTCTGTAACAGACGCACGAGCCTACTGCAGGTACTTTTGTGCAAACACCACAAAAAACTATCCCACCTCCAACTCTAGTACAAGAGGACATCAGTAGTGTTTTAGCAAGCTTACAAATGCATGTAAGATACCATGAGGATTGTCATTGGTTTTATTTTAAATTGAAGAGGAGATATTTTTACGATGTACGTGACAGACAGTAGAAATAAGTCCTACATATGTTGTTGTACTTCGTACTGGTTTAATATTCATGTAGAGTATGAGACATTAAGTGAAAGTTTTCTGAGGTACATCTGCAATTGTCGGAAGGCAAAAAAAATAAATAAAGAAATAAATAAAAACAACAACATAGGTGATGTAGATGCATGAAATGATACACTCTGTCTTTACTTATGGTCCGCGCTGCCTAAAAATAAATGGGAAAGGTAGCCATACCTTCTGCCGACACATGGGCGAGAAAGGCGACCATACCCACCGAATTTAACACACACCCACATGTCAGTGATGAAACCCCAACCACACGCCTCTATTGGCGGCCACGTCAGGAGGCAATGATGAGATAACGTTCTCCCGTGCCCTTCTCACATTTAACAACAACGACAAGGTAAATATGTTCTCCCGCGCCGCACATGCCCGATCATTACACACAATAAATAAGTCGGTGACGAAAATATTCACACCCCGAGACGCGCTTGCTCCGCAACCACATAAGGGTGCCATAATAGAACACCCGTCAAACCGAGTTCCCCTAAATCTTCCGTCTACAACTTCTCAACATGACATACAGATAGATACTCAGGATGGCTACCAAACTGCCTTGTTGAGCCTGTTACCCACAGGGGAGATATCGTTGTATGCTGTCTGGGAAACCGTAGACATACAGGTAGCCTTTCGCTCACGCTATGGATTCATTGCTAATCTATCTTAGACTTATTTCTATAGATAGAGATGGATGTGTTGTGTGATATTAAGAAAAAAAAAATAAGTAAGAAAGGAGGACGCTTCCCACACCCGCCCAAAGAAAAAATCAAAGGGTAACGTACCAGCACCAGGCAATACGCACCAGGGCATGGGAGTAATGGAGCAAACAGGACAAAGAGGCGACAGATGGACAGACAGCCAGATGTACAAAAACAAAAGAAACAGCAAAAGCGAGATCAAGGTACCCAACACAGCAGCGCGCACACCATGGCACGAAGTCCTTCTCGTTGGTAGTGCAGCCGATCGCTTGATGTCCACGATGTCCACGATGTCCACACCTAAAGCACCGGCCCGGGCACTAATAGTCCCCGCCACCGCCGCTATCGTCGCCTCCACTGCTCCTTCCCTTGCTCTTCTCGACTCCTCCGGATCCGGAGCGGCCGCCGCGACCGCCGCCGCCGCCGCCGCCGCGACCGCCTCCGCCGCGGCCACGACTGCTGCTGCGGCCATGGCCGCCGCCGCGACCACGACCTTGCCCCTGACTCCTACTTGAGTACCGCTCCCTGCGGCCCTCGCTTGCTCTGAGCCCTTCGCCCCTTTTCCTTTCCCCTTCTCCGGCTTGTCCTTGATCGCCTTGTTTTCGATCATTACATCCTTTAGCACACCGGTCCGCGTCAACTCCTTCGCCTGTCGCAGGTTGTGCTTTGTCATGGCATACTCGTCCGAAAGGGCATCCAGGAAGAGGTGAAGGACGAACGTTTGGTTGACAGTCCTTTCTCGGTTAAGGACTTCACGGTTTGGTTGCGCCATTTCCTGCCGTTCGGAAATCACTCAGCCATTCGTTGAAATCTTTCGATTTCCCGCTGAACGGTGGAGAAGGATACCGTACACTTTGGTACCCCGTCGCTGGGGTTGTTGCTCCGTATCCAAAGCCAAGAGCAGCACAACGATCTCCCATGGCACTACTATAATCTTGGTTGTGAGCAGCGGCCACTCTCACCTCTTGGGGGACAAAGCCCCCTGCTTCGCCGCTGTGTCGCCCTGACGGGCCAGACTCTCGAACAGGTTCGCACAGGTACCTCCCGTCCTGCGTACTCCCGGTCCACGGTGCCCCTCCTTCGGCGTTCGTGGACTCCGCGGCGGCGCTCTCCCTGGCATCGCCGCGATCAGCGGCACCGTCCATGGTGCCAGCTGGCTCCTCCTTCTTGCTTGCCGTCATGGTATCTTCCACTAGCGACATTAGCTGGCTCATCTGATCCGTCAGCGAGGTAATTTGCGTCCTCAGGGCCAGCTCTTCTCTTGACCTCTTTCTATCTTCCGCCGCAAAGTCGCTGGAGGACTCACCCCCATCTTTGCGACCTAACATTTCTAACGGACTCTCCCTTGAGTGACTGACACTAGTGTGTTCGTATATGTCCTTTACTTGGAAATGGAAGACGTTTTATCTCTTGTATTTGACACGCAAGGGGAGTAGGGAGAAGTGGAGCCCTCTTTGGAATTCGAGGGGTCCCCGCACATGCAACCATTTCAAGGTGTACATATGCCCCANGTAATTTGCGTCCTCAGGGCCAGCTCTTCTCTTGACCTCTTTCTATCTTCCGCCGCAAAGTCGCTGGAGGACTCACCCCCATCTTTGCGACCTAACATTTCTAACGGACTCTCCCTTGAGTGACTGACACTAGTGTGTTCGTATATGTCCTTTACTTGGAAATGGAAGACGTTTTATCTCTTGTATTTGACACGCAAGGGGAGTAGGGAGAAGTGGAGCCCTCTTTGGAATTCGAGGGGTCCCCGCACATGCAACCATTTCAAGGTGTACATATGCCCCATCTGCGTGCCCTCTGTTGTTGCCGGTAGATCTAACCAGTCCGTATCCAAACACACGAACATCATCGCCCGCGGACATCATGAAATGGAAGCGCCTGTACCGCTAATCCCCATCATAGAGTGACTTGTTTTCGGAGCCGAATTACCATCGTAAGAAACACCCGCGATAACACGCCTGGACTTTACCATCGAAAAGGACGAACTACAATTGCTCAACAAAACACCCACACTCAAGATTGGAAACGCCTGAACCGCGAATCCCCTTTCGAAGATCATCATTGTCGTATCATCGTAAGCAAAGCTACCATCACTCTACGAACACCAAATCAGAAAATGGAAGCGCCTTAACCGCGAATCATCTGTAGAACCTTTCGATATCATTCGTCACAAGCAAAATCATTCAATATTACCCGCGAGTCTCAACCAGAAAGAAGCGCCCCGCGGCAACAACGCGTTGTTGTTGGCCCTCGTTCAAAAGCACAGCAGATTTCGCGGTCTCACCCTTGCTCCTCTGCGGCAATTCCACGTTCACCAGAATCGCCGTGGCTGCAATCCTCCAGTTCTCCGGCGCGTACTTTTCCCGCGATCAACAGGCTCGTGTGCTGTGCCGCCCGCTACTTCACCGCCGACACCACCATCCCTCTGCTGCCTTGTCATTGGGTCGGTCCCAACAAGTCGCTCATGTGTGTGGCCCCGGTTTATTATCCTCCAGGCTCCACCTCCTGACACCCCGTTCCGTGTGCCCGGGGCAGTCAACCTACCCCCAGCAGCGCCTCTGCTGGAGGTGCCAACCGCACAGAGAAAGTCGATGGTCTGGAACCCACCAACCCCACCATTTGCAGGGACATCAAACGCCCGCACCGGTTCACCATCCGTGCCCGATCTACTGCTGCTCTCTCTTCCAGCGGCGTCATCTGTTCTAACGCCAGCAGCGTGCAGCTCCGATAGGCAGCTGCCTGGCGGCGAGATTCCGACAACCCACCGCAAGATGCGGCGCGTCTTCCAGCACCGCCTGGTCCCCGTTGGCTTCCGCAATCTGGCATTGCCTGCAGCAGCGATGACATCTTGTCTATCACCCCCTGCATCCAAAATTCCTACGCATTGCTTCCCAGCGGGGGGCCATCGGATGGGTGACCCGGGGGATCTACTCCCCGGACTCCACCGGGTGGCACCCCAAACCGTGTGCCGGCGCGGCTCCTCCGCGCCCTACGGCGTTGCCAGCGCCGCTTGACTCCCCCTCTTCTGCCCCCGCCGCCCTGGCAGGCGGCACCTGAAGTTGCCCTAGCTTCTCCATGACAGCCGACAGCACCTTGCTTTGGTCCTCCAGCCTCATGGACAGCTCCGTCACGCGCGTGTCGATCGTGGTTCCGCCGCTATCGCTCGCTGGGGTATCGCCAGGAATAATATCTGCAAAGGGGCTCCTTCGATGGAAACTCTAGAGTATTCGTCAATCCTAAGTGGTATGCCCTTGTTGTCTTTGTAGAGAATGTGGTGCTTGATGTTTAGGTGCTTGTTATCTCTCACACCCGGTTCGGAGGAAAGAGCAGGGATTACCACGCAGCAGGACAGCTGCCGTGGGGGGCTCCGCATGATCATTACCAAGTCGTACTACCCAACATTTACATGTGTGCAGGGCGCCCGAAACGGTCTTCTCGTCTACAGATCCGACTACATACATACGTCATCACACGAACAGTTGTCGTTGTTGTCGCTGTTGTCGCTGTTGTTGCTGTTGTCGTTTTTGCGTTGTCGTTGTTGGTATCTAGCGTTACCATTGTAGATTTCCGATTATTGCGCTCTAAGGTGTTCTTCTTCTACCTCGCCACACATCTGGACCCTTTCCGGAAGGCACCATACCCCTTGAGTAACATGCCCACAAAAAATACGCCAAAGGCCACCAGGTAGTTAACATCAGGTCCGAATGTTTGGAGACGGGCAGCTTGTTGTAAGAAGCGCAGAGGAGAACGGTTGACTCAAGACCTTGGTATATTGACGAGTGCGCTGGGCATGCTAGCCCATGCACAGCAGAAGGGGGGTCACCCCTCTACCAACACATACCGCCAACGATACACGAAACCCCCTAAATCCCCGTAGATCAGTATCGAGTGCTGAGTACCCCCAAACAGCCCCCTTGCTCGTTACTCGATTTGATGTAACAAACTCTTCAATCATCACCAGGCAGGGTAGAACCGTGATAATGTCAATGCCAAACACACAACAGTCGTTCATCATACCATCCACTCAAACCTCATGATCTCAAACTCATTTCCTTCGGCATACAGTCTCCTCAAGAAGGTCCATCAAGGATGAATAAAATCGTTAATCCAAACACATAAATAAATGCAGTACAGTCAAGATGAAGTCAAACCCCGATGTGTAGAGAAACATCAAGGAAAACCTACGACTAACTGCGGATACCTAAACATGACCCGATTATCAACAGCCCCCCTGCCGGCCCTGCCGGGATATCCTTCCTCCAACATGAAACTTCGAATGAAAACCTTCAAGGTACAAGAAGAAGCTAAACGCGAAACATCAAACATCAACCCATGCAACGCCAAACCATTGCTTGTTGTACTGCAGCGCGGATCATGGCAAGAGACCCCCCCCCCCATGACTATCGACCGCAGTCCAACCAGCAGTGATTCTGCATAACGTCCAAGAAGTTTGCATCCCTAATACTTCCAGCCCACAGATGCATAGCAAAAAAAAGCCACAAGACAACGACAGAAGCGGACTGCCAGAAAATAACAGAAAGAGTATCAAAAACACACCAAAAAGAGTACGCAACGCGGTTCTATCAATACCGTCAGCAATACATAGTCGTCCCCCGCAAAGCACAATGCACGAAAACAAACAAATAAACAACAACAACGATCGCCACCCGCCCTGCGGCTGGAAATTGATCATATTGCGCCCACCCCGCTAAAGAAAAACGCAATGTTTCCAGCTGGCGGGTAAAACATGACTAGAACCACCCCCTCCCGAAAAAACGCAGGTACCGACTTCGCAGGCAAAACGCGATCCGGTGATGAACAAGGCATCCCAAAAACAAACCAAATCCAAATACCCGAGACAGTCATATCAATGCAGCAAACCCCTGTGTACCGAGATGGCAGTCGTTGACCAACCCCATTCCTTTTTCTATCGAGTGCTTTCCGCCATCAGGCCGCTACGTTGACTCACACCACAAATTCTCGTGGAAGGGAAAATGACTATTTGGTTGAAAGTGAGGCAATTGCCGATTGCCCCCCCCAAACTCTGCACAGTACTCCACAAACCAACCAATGCCAACACATTATACATGTATGCCCACAAGAAAATTATTGTTCCCTAGATACCTCGTTCATCCCATCCATCAAGGCGACATACTCGGACTCCGTCGCAGGGTTTTGCTTCTTCTCTGCATCCTAGACAAATACATCACACATGCCCCAGGAAGCATTACCAACAATGCACCAGAAACAGACAGAAGTGAGCATCCACATTGTCTACCAGCGTGCCCTATGTTAGACATCTAACAAGAGTACAACCAGGGTCCGAACAGCTAGCTGTTAGGCTGTCGGACTGGTTTTCCCCAGGGCTGTCGGACTCTGGTTTTCCCCCAGGGTTGTAATCCCTGTGATGGAGGGCCACACCGCTCCGGGACAAGAAGACAACTCTATGGGAAACAAGGCAAGAACCGGGGTAACTGTCACGTTAGCCCGAGTGTTCGCAAGAAAACAGTAAAAAAACAAAAAAAGAGAGGAAGATGGAGGAAAAGGAGGGGTCGGGCGGCGCGTAGGCTAGCTAAGAGAGCAGCGCGCAACGCGCGAAAAAGACAGCAGGGTCAACTTTTTAGGGTAGCAACCTGGAATGTGCGGACTCTGGCTGTAAACGGGGCCAATGGATACGGGCGAGCCTACAGCGTTCTTCACGAGGCAGCGAGACAAGACGTATCGGTGGTAGGAATGCAGGAGACACGGAGGGCAGGTCGAACGGAATTTGCAGCAGCGGGTTTCCGGGTGTTCTGCTGTGGCACGGAGACTGGTGGAGTCCATGGTGTGGGGATAGCCGTCAAAGAGTCATTGTGCAAGACATCCACGTTCACTACGGAGTTTATCGACGAACGCCTTATGGCCATGAGGTTTCCGTTGGCAGGCCACCGTGGAGCGGTCAACTTCGTAGCCGCGTATGCTCCAACCGAACCTTCAACCGCCGACAGCAAGCGCGTGTTCTGGGGAAAACTTGACAGTCTCGTGCGGAGGATCCCTTCCAAACAATGTGTGTATGTCCTACTGGACGCCAACGCGCGGACGGGAGAGAGGTTGGACGGAGGGGACGGAAGGGTAAGAGGAATGTACGGGCGCGATGAGCTC